CTTAACGACTGAGCCACCTAGGCGCCCCAACTTTTTTTTTTTTAAGATTTTATTTTATTGGGGGCCTCGGTTGCTCAGTCAGTTAAGTGTCTGCCTTCCGCTGAGGTCCTGGGATCGAGTCCCGCCTCGGGCTTCCTGCTCAGTGGAAAGTCTGCTTCCCCCTGTCCCTCTGCTGCTCTCTCTCTGTCAAACAAATAAATCTTAAAAAAAAAAAAAGATTTTATTTATTGGGGGGGCAGAGAAAGAGAGAGAATCCTAAGCAGGCTCCCCACTGAGCACAGAGCCCAACACAGGGCTTGATCCCAGGACCCTGAAATTAGGACCTGAGCCGAAATCAAGAGTCAGACTCTCAACTGACTGAGCCACCCAGGCGCCCCCCAACGGAGTTTTCTCCTGGCCTCTCCTAAATTCTTCCTTTCTTTCTTTGTCTTTTGTTTTTTGAAGTTGGAGCCCAGGCGGTATGGTAGTTCATGTAAGTCCCACAAATGCCCTAAAGCAAACATTGACCCTGAAGCTTATCACATCTGCTTTACAGTGTTTGGTGACTGTACTGAAAGTATCTTACTCTGCTTTAAGGCTTCTGTTGACCTCTGAGAGCCTGTCTTTGTTTCTCTGACTTGTTTCTCTGGCCACTGGCCGCTGTGAATATTTGAGCACCAGCCATCAGCTACGGCTAACCCGTAGAAGGAAGAAAAGTGCAGTTAGGGGGCCATTCATTTTCCCCCACAATTGTACATCTTTATTTGTACAGTCTTCAAAATTGTGGTAAAATATACATAAAATTTACCATTTTAACCATTTTAAGTGTATGATTTAGTGGCCTCAGTACATTCACAATGTTGGATAACCATCACCAATTTCCAAGTGGGAACTCCGCATTGTAACTAGACAATAACTCAGCATCTCCCCTCCCAGCCCGTGGTAGCCCGTTCTCTTCTCTGTCCCTACGAATTTGCCTCTTCAAGGTGCCTGGTGGAAGTAGAGTCCTGCGATATCTGTCCTTTGGTATCTGGTTTCCTTCACTTGGCATGGTATTTTCTAAGTTCATCCATGCCTGCGTCTATCATTCCTTTTTGTGGCTGAATAATACTTCAGGGTGGTTGGTTATATACTGTTGATGGACTCTTGAGTTGCTTCCACCTTTTGGCTATTGTGAATAATTGCTGTATCAGTGTTTAAATAATTTAAAATTAATGTTTAGTTTTTAATGTTTATCAGTTACAATAACTGATTTAATGTTTAATGTTAACCTAGTCACAGATGATGGAATTAGTTGACATTTCTGGGTTAGTTTCCATTGATTTCCTCTCCTCATTGGGGTCTAGTTTCCTGCCTGGTAATTTTTGATTGGATGCCAGACTTAGTGAATTTTACCTTTGTGGGTGCTAGATAATTGTATATTTTTCAAAACTTTCTTGAGCTGTTTTCTGGAATGCAGTGAAGGTACTTGGAAACAGTTTGATCCTTTTGATGCTTTAAGTTTTGCAGGATGAGATGAGAAGAGCCTTTTGGGTGGTTTTCTCCCCACCACTGAGGGGATACCTGTCTGAGTAATTATCCAGTGTCCTGTATCACAATCCTTTTCCACTATGGCCACTGGGAACCCTAGCTATTTCCAGCCCTGGGCGAACTTTGGAGATGGTTCTACCTGCTGTTTCTGTGGTTCTTCTTCCCTGGTTGGGCGGTTTTCTTGCCAACACGTGCTGCCCAGGACTCAGCTGGAGACTCAGAGGAAGGGCGCCTCTGCAGATCTCCAGAACAGTCTCTGTGCAGCTGCTTCTGCTCCCTCCTTGCCACCCCCCCTCTCCCAGTCCTGTCTTCTGAGTCCTCGGTTCTGAGAGATGACAGGCTTTGCCTGGGCTTCCTTCCTGCCCCGTGGCCGCAGTCCCCGTGGCCGCAGTCCTGGTGGCCGGCAGTCCCCGTGGCAGATCTTGGGCTTACCTTGTCTCCCCTCCCAGGGAGCACTGTCCTGGGCCGCCTGTTGTCCACGGCCTGAAAACTGTTTCACGTGTGTTGTTCGGTGTCTGAGTTGTGGGAGGTGGGAGGGTAGATCCAGGACCTAATATTCCAGCTTCTGTGAAGCTGAAGTTTGTCCCCTATTTATTATGACATTCTGAAGTAGGTTTTGTCCAATTGGCCTTTTCCCAGGACCGATTATCTTAAGAGAAGAGGGGCCCTGGTGTCCCGCTTCCCTCCTCCCTGCTCACCTTTCCCGTGTCCCGCGTAGCCGTTCTGCAGTGACCCCTGGCTGCTGGCTGCCTTCACGCATACCCGCGTCCGGTCGGCCAGCCATGCGGGGATCCCGAGCCTTGGTGGCCTCAGGCACAGATCTGATGCAATCTCCCAACCGGCTGGCTGGCAGAGGGGGTCCGTCCTGTGGGCCAGCTGCAGCCACTTCCTTCTGCTCCCCTCGCCTGCACCCCAATGCGAGTGAGGGCTGCACAGCAGCGTGGGCCTCTGCAGCTTCATCCTCTTACTCCTCGGTCTTCTGTTCCATTTACTTCAAGTGCAGTTCAGTCTGTAGACCGCGCGCGTACAGTCGGGGTCTTGCTTTGTTACCAAGTCGACAGTGTCTCGTCATCGAGATGTTTGGACTACTTATATTTAATGTGATGATGGACTTGCTTTGGTTAAGGTGTACCATCTTGCTGTTTCTTCATTTGCTGCATCTGTCTTTTGTTTCAGTTTGTTCTTTTCCTTTTATTTATAGATTATTTAATAGTATTCCTTTTTATCATTGGCTTATTAGCTATTTATACATACATGTTTCTCTCTCTCTCTTTCTTTCTTCCTCCGATTGCTTTCAGGCTCGCAGTATGACACCCTGACTCCACACATACGGGAATTCAGTCACAGTGTACTCCCACATCTCCCTCCTGTCCTCTGTTTGGCTGGTACATTTTATTTCTCGATATTATAAACCCCCCAATACACTGTTGTTGTTCTTGGTTTAAGAGTCAGCCATCTTTGGGGCGCCTGGGTGGCTCGGTCGGTTAAGCATCCAACTCTTGGTTTCGGCCCAGGTCGTGATCTCATGGGTCTTGGGATTAAGCTGCGGTGGAATCCGTGCTCAGTGGGGAGTCTGTGTGGGGATTCTCTCCTTCTGCCTCTGCCCGCCCCCTTACTCTATCTCTCTAAAGTAAATAAATGAAAGTCATCTTTTAAAAGTTACTTATCTTTTAGGGAGAGTAAACAATGAGATTTTTTTTTTTATATGACCCAAATATTTACCATTTCTGATGGTCGGTGTGTAGGGGGGTGTGCGTGTGGGTGTGAGTGGGTCTGTGTGTGCACCTGCATTCAAGTTTCCATCTAGAAACCTTCAGTGAAAAGAGCTTCCCTTAACATCTTGCGGTGTCAATTTGTGGTGATAAATTCTCTCAGCTTTTGTCTGTCTGAAAATGGCTTTATTTCATCCGTAATTTCTGAAGGATGTTTTTGCTGTATAGAATTCTAGGTTGATAGTCTTTATTTTTCAGCACTTGAAAGATGGATGTTGACTTGTGTTGTTTCTGCTGGGAAGTCTTTGGTTGCTCTCTTTCCCTTTGTAGGTCATGTATCTCTTTTTTTCCTTTGATTGCTTTTAGGATTTTTCTCTTTATTGCTGATGTTCCATGATTTGTTTATAATGTCTCTTTGTGTGGTGTTGTGTGTGTGAGTGTGTGTGTGGGGGGAATTTACTCAGATTCTTGAATCTGCAGGTTATCGTTGTCATCAAATTGGAAAGTTTTTGCCATTACTCCTTCAGAAATTTCCATACTGCCTCCCTGCCCCTCTGGGGCACATGTGTATTAGACTGAGTGGGTCTGTCTCACAGGTCACGAAGGCTCTGCCCATGTTCAGAGCCTCTTTTCTTTCTGTTGCTGTTTCTTCAAGTTCACTGATCTTTTCTCCTGGCATTATCCATTGAGCCCATCCAGTAAATTTTTTAATTTCAGAAATTGTATTTTACACCTGTAGTCGTTCCATTTGGATCTTTTTATAACATCCATTTTTCTCATTATAATCGTATGTTCCTTTAAGTCCTTGAACATATTTATAGTAGCTGTTCTAAAGTGTCTGCCAATTTTATTATGTCTGTCATTTCCTGGTGTGTTTCTAGGGACTGATATTTTTGTCCTGGGTCACATTTTTCTCTTTCTTGGCTTGTCTGTTAATTTTTTATTGGATAGTGGACATTGTGTTGGCATGTTGCTGAGTGTCTGGATTTTGTGTTCTCCCTTTAAAGGGTGTTCAGGTGTGTTTGGTAGGCACTTACATGACTTGTGAATCAGTCCAGTTCTTTCAAGACTTACTCTAAGTTTTGTTGGGGTGGGGAGTCCAGAGTAATCTTACCTTAAGGTGCCTTTAGCCCTGCCCTAGCCCTGTTGGGGTCTCTACCATGAATGCTTTGGATGTGTTCAGTGAAGCTTCTCCACTCTGGTTCATCGTAGCTCCCAGCTCTGCCCTGACCTCTGAGTATTTTCTCAGCCCACAGCTCTCCTGTAGTTGTTGTTTGCTTGGTTTTAAAGAGTTTTACCCTATTGTGTGCGGCTTAGTATTCATCAGCAGGCTCACAGAGACCTCTGTGCAGGTTTCTGGAGCTTTTTCTCTGAGTAGCTGCTTTGAGAGTCTGTCCTCAGTTGCTGAGCCTCCTGGAGTTCTGGTCTCAGTGTCTCTTCACCTTGGCAGGGCCTGTGCTTTCTGCCTGGGGTTCTCCGCTTGGATTCTTAGTGTTTGGGTCAGACGGTGCCTCCAGGCAGAAAGCTGGAGGCTTCCTAGGGTTCACCTCATCTGCTTCCCTTCTCTCAGAGTTCACTGTCCTCTGCTCCCTGTTGCTCAATATCTGGAAACTGTTGTTTCATGTGTTTTGTCCAGTTTTCTAGCTGTATACAGTAAGAGGGAAAGTCTAGTACTGGTTGCTCCTGTGGCCTCCTATGATTTTGATTAATTTTGTTATTTTAACTACTGAAATTTGATGTATGACTTATTCATTTAATGTACTAGTCTTTCTCTTCTCTATTTTATTTGGTCTGTACTATAACCTCTTTCATTCCGCTTTTAATAGTTTAATCCTTCTAAGGCCCTCAGTGGATTCAGGTTATACCAGGGAAATGATACTGAAGTTCCAGGACACACAATTATTTTTGCCACCTTGCATAGAGTCAGTATCTCGCAGTTTATCCGCGAGGTCTCGGGATAACAGTGAAGACTGCTTGTTAGCTCAGATCCCCTTTCCTGTGCCTTTCCCTGGTGTGCAAGCGAGCCCTCTGAGAGTCTTTGTGTTGTTTAAGAAATACTGATTTTAGGGGAAATTTCAGTTCACATGAGGAACTTAAGGCACTGAATATAATACAATATTTTGACAGATTCCTTTGTGATGACTGTTTCTCTTAACTTTCATGAGATAATGTGTTTTTTTTCCCAAGTGGGATTGTTGGAGTACTTAGCACAAAGTAATCCGTGTAGTAAAGGGCCAAGTAGAATTTGGCCACCATGATCATTAGCACCGGATGAAAGGGGCTGATAGCTAAACAAGAATTTATTTTACAGGACAGTTTAATCTGAACTAAGTTTTCACTCTCATGGGGAAAATAAATATTTCAAGGGACTTTGTGCCATTTTGGAAACTATGCTGAGTTTATATTAAATTAAATATGATGAAATGTTGAGAGATTTTAACATGGTTCTTGCTTTTTGTTTGTGGCTTTAAAGTGCTAAAAATAAGGTGTTGTCATTCTGCATGTCTGAAGTCATAGTGTGTTTCAGGTGCCTTTTTAAAGTGATCACAGTATGTTTGGGATGAATTTATTTGTAATTCTCCCAAAATATCCCCTTGGTATTTTGGATGAAACTGCAGTAGATTTATAGACTGACATGTTTATGGTGTTATCCCTTTGTTCTCAGGAGCATGATGTGATTTATTGATATGACTTTCTTCACTAAGGTTCTTCATGCCTGTGGTTATCTCTCGTGCTTTATAGTTTGGTTTTTGTGGCTATTAGGAATATCCTCCCAATTGTATTTTTTTAATCAAGTTATTATTTACAGAGAAACTATTGACTTTTGCCAGTTTATCTTAGAATTGGTTTTATTAAATTTTCATTGTCCTATTATTTTTTCAAATGATTGGGGTTGAGGGACTCCCTGCAGACCATCCTCAGCATTGCTGTACTATCCCTACCTGCATTCTGTATTGCATATACACGGGGGGGAGGGGGTGTCTGGAGGGGGTAGTTGACCCTACTGGGAGGTGGGGCTCGTCCTTACAAGATCTGATGAAGAGACAGATTACAGAAATACCTTTAGTGGGAATAAGTAACCCAGTCCTCACTCAGCTCTTTGTCTTGAACCCCAAGGCTAGTTCAGACCACTTGGTGGGCTGGAAAGAGGACACAGTTGTGCAACAACTTTTAGCCCAATACAGAATGTGTACATAATGTTCAAAAAACCCAAAGGTCACGATAACTGACATTTACAGGGCCCTCTGTGCCAGTCACTTTTCTAAGCACTTTGCATTTATGACTTCATTTATCATTTGTGTCACGAGGCACATGCTGTTATCCTTATCTTATTCTGGAGGAATTTGAGACAGACTTGAAGGAATTTAGCCAAGTTTAGAAAGCTGTTGAAATGGTAGTATAGGGAGTTGACCCTGCGTGGTCTGGCTCCAGAGTCCACTCATCATCGCCATGTTACCAGTGATTACATTTCCTCTCCCTTTGTTGGGGGAATGAAAACCATTGTCAACACACAGTGCTGAGGCCCCGGGGGACCGGGTGGGGGGGGTGGGGGGCAGACCCTGTTACTGGGAGTGTGTGAGTTTTCAACCAGTGGTCTTTGGGATTTGGGGAACTGTTTTCTTTTACACTTTTGTGTCCCCTTTTTTGCTACAAGTCACGTGTCCTTTAACAATCAGGTGGGGGGTAAAGTTATCTTCCTAACCACAGCTAAGTAAGTTTTTATGCGCTTTGCCCTGGAGGTTGCAGAGTGGGTTAGTAACCTTGCTGCTGTGATAGAGAACAAGGTAGATGTGCCGATATGAACAGTCCTAAGATTAAATACAACATGGAGTGTAGAGGAACATAGGTACTGTGGTTCTAATTGGTTCTCTCGCATGCGAACACGTGTGCCCAAATGCATGACTTTTTGAAGGCTACTTTCAAATCTGTTAGCACTTTGTGCCCTTTGCAGGAGGAGGAGAACATTTTGAACTTTTTACTTTTTTAGACTTCATTGTATTGCTTTTGTTGTTGTTGTAAAATGTATTATGTATATTACTTTTGTGCAGTGAAAATAACAGTACTCAGAATGAGAGCTCCAGGAAGATGTAGCCTTTTGTACAGATTCTGTCTGCCTCCCAGTCCTAGTCCTCTTGTAAGTTATGCTTTGGAGGAAGCATTGGGTATTTTCAACAGGATTCTGAGCTTCCTAGGTGGAGGTACAAAACAGTGCTTTCAATTTTTAATTTTGTTGACCAGGCAATAGGT